CTAGAAGGCTTCTGTCATAGTGAAGTGAAATATTGAGTCCTTTCTTTAGGATCGAGTAAAGAGGGAAGTGTTGATAAATTCACTGCTTCCTTCGGATCGTCGTGCTGATCAGTAGATGTTGTTATTTTGGAAACCGCTTTAACTGCGCGCATTGGCTTTAACTTACGCTGTCTTGTAATCTCAAACTTACGCAATTTAGCGTCGTGTTCTACGTGATTTCCTGACTGTCATGGAATAGATTTTTTGAAAATCTTCATGAGTTAAGATCCTGGTCATATCACGCCGGAGTTTTGTCTTAATATCTATAAGCTTAAATAGCTTAGTCCTCTTCATATCATGAATAGTACTTAACTTCTGAAGAGAGACCTGGTGGAGAATCTCATTGACTTTATCCGAATAGTGAAGTCACTTAAGGTTACATGATTCAAAAAAGTGCCTAAAAAGGGAATAGCTTTTGACGGGCAGAATGTAAACAAATCAGTAGTTTTGATAGAGCTAGAGTGGAGTAAGAGGGTAAAAAGTAGAAAGATGAGCCAAAACAGAAAAAGCAGTGATAGTACAACCGTTTTGGCAGAAAGCCGTTTAAGGGATTTCCTTCACTTTTGTCTTTGACAGATTGAAACTTGGTTCTGACTGGTACAAAACTCACTAATTATACCGACTACAATGCAGGTGAAACGTCCAAGAATGTTTCAAGTCCACAGTCTGCGAATTATAATACTTGCTATGACAGAGGAGTTCGGACAAGGTGCGTCCAACTAAGTCCTTTGGACAACAAGACCAAGTTGCGAAAACTAAGTCAACACACTACTATTTTCTGGAAAGTCCATCTTATTTATATAAAACATAGATGACTTTATATTGCTAAATCCTAACTTATATTTCTACCGTGTATTTAGTTGATAATGAATAAATTCAAGAATAATATTGAAGGTATGAAGAGAAGATGGTGTGGCCTTTTGTGTGATAGCAGTCTCCATTCATTGTATAGAAGTCGCTAGACCTTGTTTTCGCAACTCGCTCATATTAGTAGGAAAAATTAGAGGAATTCACCCTGTCCGGAGACCATTGCATGCATAATTATTTCCAAAGTTGGACCGTAAACGTAGTACATTCCTAGACGTTTCGCCGGGATCGTAGTTGGCATCGTCAGTGAGTCTCGCTATTCGTAGCACCATATCACAACTCGTCAAAGAGACAAGTTAATCCGATCCCTTGACTAAACGTGTGCTAAACGGTTAGGGTATCCCCCTTCGGCCATGGAATATTTACATTTGCTATATGCTTCTATCACGCCTTCACTGTCACAATTTTTTACTTGCTTAATTAAATATGGTACGGTGTGCCCTTTTTTTAGCGGCTTTCATGAGAACCCTCCGCACTCCACGCTAGCCTTCTCACCGCCCTTGATCTTTGTGCTAG